AGTAGTAGTAGTAGTAGTAGTAGTAGTAGTAGTAGTAGTAGTAGGAGTAGTAGTAGTAGTAGTAGTAGTAGTAGTAGTAGTACTACTACTATACTACTACTACTACTTCTACCACTACTACTACTACTACTACTACTACTAACTACTACTACTACTACTACTACTACTACTACTACTACTACTACTACTACTACTACTACTACTACTACTACTACTACTACTACTACTACTACTACTACTACTACTACTACTACTACTACTACTACTACTACTACTACTACTACTACGACTACGACTACGACTACGACTACTGCTACGACTACTACTACTACTACCTACTACTACTACTTCTTCTCCGACGACTACTACTACTACTACTACTACGACTACTACTACTACTACTACTACTACTACTACTACTACTACTACTACTACTACTACTACTACTACTACTACTACTACTACTACTACTACTACTACTACTACTACTACTACTACTACTACTACTACGACTACGACTACGACTACTACGACTATACTACTACTACTACTACTACGACTACTACTCTACTACTACTACTACTACTACTACTACTACTACTACTACCTTTACTACTACAACTACTAGTACTACTTTTACTACTACTACTACTGCTACTACTAGTACTACTACTACTACTACTACTACTACTACTACTACTACTACTACTACTACTACTACTACTACTACTACTACTGCTACCACCACTACCACTACCACTACTACTACCACTACCACTACTACTGCTACTGCTACTGCTACTGCTACTGCTACTACTACTAGTACTGCTGCTGCTACTACTACTACTACTACTACTACTACCACTAACAATATTAATAGTAATGCTACTACTCTCTACTACTACTACTACCACTACTACTAATAATCATACTATCCACAATGATACTCATAAAAGGATTTTATTATTCTAAGATTGATAACAAGCATCATCTGCCAACGACGCATGCACACGTCCCTGCTTAATTGCCGCTGGACTGCGTTTGAACGCGGACGTTCGTGCACGCAAGACCGCGGAGGAGGAGGAGGAGGAGGAGGAGGGGGTAAGAGCAGGAGGAGGAGGAGGAGGAGCGGAGGCTGCCGAAGAATAATAATCATTATCATAGGCCAATGACGCATGCACACGTCCGTGGTAAGCTCCCGCTGGACGGCGTTTGAACACGGACGTTCGTGCACGCAAGACCGCGGAGGAGGAGGAGGAGGAGGAGGAGGAGCGGAGGCTGCCGAATAATAACAATAATAATACGAATCATAGTAATACTACTACTAATAATACTAATAATAATAATAATACTAATACTAATACTAATAATAATGAGTTAATATCAGTAGTAATAACAATGATATTAATAATAGTATTAATACTATTAATAGTGATAACAATAGTAATAATCAGACGAAGAAGAAGCATCATAGGCCAACGACGCATGTACACGTCCGCGGTTAGCTCCCGCTGGACTGCGTTTGCACGCGGACGTCCGTGCACGCAAGACCCTGGATGAGGAGGAGGAGGAGGAGGAGCGGAGGCTGCCGAACAAAAATCATCATAGGCCAACGACGCATGCACAAGTCCGTGGTTAGCTCCCGCTGGACTGCGTTTGAACGCGGACGTTCGTGCACGCAAGACCGCGGAGGAGGAGGAGGAGGAGGAGGAGCGGAGGCTGCCGAAGAAGAAGCATCATAGGCCAACGACGCATGCACACGTCCGCGGTTAGCTCCCGCTGGACTGCGTTTGAACGCGGACGTTCGTGCACGCAAGACCGCGGAGGAGGAGGAGGAGGAGGAGGAGGAGGAGGAGGAGGAGGAGGAGGAGGATCAGCGGAGGCTGCCGAAGAAGAAGCATCATAGGCCAACGACGAATGTACACGTCCATGGTTAGCTCCCGCTGGACTACGTTTGAACGCGGACGTTCGTGCACGCAAGACCGCGGAGGAGGGGGAGGAGGAGGAGGAGGAGGAGGAGGAGGAGGAGGCGTACATGCACATGTACATGTGTCGTTGCTCGCTCAAGACAACGGCATGGACGCAAACTCTCGGAGATCCGCGCGAATCGCTCGGGCCGGAGCTGGAGACGCCAGTCCTTGCGCGGCGCGCAGCGCGCCAGGGGCGGCGCCAGAGGCGCCGCCAGGGGGGCCCCAGCGCCGACCCGAGAACTCCACGCGGAGCGCCGAGATATTCCTCCGCGCCAGGGCAACAGACCACTGGGAGCTTTGGGAGCTGACGTGGCTACCCGCCCGCCTCGACCTCCGCAAGCGAGAGCCTGGGAAGCCGCCAGACCAACCACCCTACATCGCACTCTCGCGCACGCTCCCCAACGACGACCCCATCCATCCCTGCGTGCGCGTCGAATTCCCCTGCCCAGTTCTCCTCCTGACCCTCTTGCGGCTTTCCTGCGACTCCGGCAGGTTTCCAGCCTAGAACGGTTTCGTTCCATGCGGTCTGGACCACAGCCCAGAGGCCATTCGCACCATCGGGCCACCGTGCCTTACAGGGTGGTGACTCCAGGAGACTGGGCCCGCTCGGGTTAGGGCGCCCCGAAGCTACATTACCTAAAGTCCTTCCTCTCCTCTTCCTCTTCCTCTTCCTCCTCCTCCTCCTCCTCCTCTTGGTCCTCCTCCTGATCCTCCTCCTCCTTTTCCGCGCAGACCCCCCGCAAATTGTGTGCTTCATCGTGTGCACGCGATAATAAAGCATTTCCCCTTAATCCCTAAGCCATGCTTATCCATGGGATCGGAGGTTGGGGGGTGAGATCGCAGTGGAACGGAGACCCCCAACCGGGAAATCGTTTCGTTTCGTTCGTGTCGTGCGGTCGGGCGAGGCGAAGCTGCGTGGGCGCTTGAGAGGAATGAACCCGCCGTTGCTAGGGCGAAGTCAAGAAAAATGATTCTCCCACGTCCGTCCGTCCGTCCGGCGGTGGCTCGCGGTGTCCCGCGGTGTCCCGTGGTGTCCCGTGGTGTCCCGTGGTGTCCGCCGTTGCTAGGGCGAAGTCAAGACAAATGATTCTCCCCCGTCCGTCCGTCCGTCCGGCGGTGGCTCGCGGTGTCCCGTGGTGTCCTGTGGTGTCCCGTGGTGTGCCGTGGTATCCCGTGGTGCCCCGTTGAGTGAGATCGACAGTGAGATCGATACTGAGATCGATGTGGTGTCCCGCGGTGTCCCGTGGTGGCCCGTGGTGGCCTGTGGTGTCCAGTGGTGTTCCGTTAAGTGAGATCGATAGTGAGATCGACCGTGGTGTCCCGTTGAGTGAGATCGATAGTGAGATCGATAGTGAGATCGATACTGAGATCGATGTGGTGCCCCGAGGTGTCCCGTGGTGTCCCGTGGTGTCCCAAAAAGTGAGATCGATAGTGAGATCAATAGTGAGATCGACAGGTGTCTCGTGGTGTCCCGTAGTGTCCGTTGAATGAGATCGATAGTGAGTTCGATAGTGAGATCGATACTGAGATCGATGTGGTGCCCCGAGGTGTCCCGTGGTGTCCCAAAAAGTGAGATCGATAGTGAGATCGATAGTGAGATCGACAGGTGTCCCGTGGTGTCCCATGGTGTCCCGTGGTGTCCCGTTGAGTGAGATCGATAGTGAGATCGATAGTGAGATCGATAGTGAGATCGATATGGTGTCCCGAGGTGTCCCGTGCCGTCCTATGGTGTCCCGTTGAGTGAGATCGATAGTGAGATCGATAGTGAGACCGATAGTGAGATCTAGAGGTGTCCCGCGGTGTCCCGTGGTGTCCCGTGGAGTCCCGTTAAGTGAGATCGATAGTGAGATCGATAGTGAGATCGACAAGTGTCCCGTGGTGTCCCGTGGTGTCCCGCGGTGTCCCGTTGTGTGAGATCGACCGTGAGATCGATTGAGTCAGATGTTGGTCCCCCCCCCTCTCTCCCCCCCACAACCTCCTTATCACCCGAAGGGTGGTCGTATAGGTACGTATATTTGATAGGCGGGCGGAGCGGCGAGGCCGCACTTTACTACTACCACCAGGGAAAGTACGAATCATACATTTAATCATCTTATCAAGATGATCCTTTGTTATGATCATCAGCATCCTTTGTCATCATGATCACCCTCTCGTAGACCCCCATTCTGGCACACCCATCACACGGTTCGTGGCCCCATGTGGTGTCCTAGTGCTATGCCTGCCTCCCCAACTTCCTCTCTCCGCGCCCCAGTTGAACTCGTTTATCGCCGTCATTATTTATCACCCCCGAAGAGTACTCACTCCTACACGACGAGTTTTACAAAAAGAGTTCGATAGGTCCGAAACTTTGATTTCTCTTGAAATCTCCTTCGCCTCCTTCCTCTCCTCGTCCTCCTCCTCCTCCTCCTCCTCATCTTGTCTTGTCTCCGTCCTACTTCTTGTCCTCATTGTCTACCCTTTTTCTTTTCCTCCTTCTACTTCTCCTTTTCCTCCTCCGCATATCAGCCTGGAGGTCATTCAAGACCCATCCAGACATCCCAACGCCGAGATCTCCAGGAAATAAAAACATGATCCTCCCAGGACCCCGAGCCTTCTTATCCCCATGGTGTGATTGTCACCGGCACAGGGTTGCCACTGGCTTTGTGCGGCAACCAACCCCCCCGGCTGGTCCTGTGCGGCGACCCAGCGCGGCCCCGCGCCTGCGGGCCCGGCCGCGCGCGTCAGCCTCGTGCCGTCTGCTCGACTCCGCTTCCTCCCACCCTCGCCGCCCCTTCCCGGATGGCTCTGTGCCGCCCACCGCTCTGGTGTTAAGTCGGGCCTGTCCCCCATACAGGGGGGATTTTCGACGAAAATTAAAAAATACCCCCAAAATATTCAAAAAATAATCCAACAATGGTCTGGGGACTATTTTTGGATTGTTTTTTGCCCTTTTGGGGTATTTTTGGGATATTTTTCATTTTTCGTCGAAAATCCCGCTGTAGGGGGACAGGTCCGACATAACTCTGGTGCTCAGCGCGGTGCTCCGAAGCGATGCCGCTTGAGGCGCGCGCGCGCCCGCTCCCGCCGCTTTCGGCGTGCTCCGCTGCGTCGCCGCGTGCGAGGCCGCGGCCGCAAAAAAAAACAACTTGTGCGCTGGTGCCAGGCTTTGCTCCCGTTCTCTTCTCATCGGGTCTCTTCTTCCTCCCTCTTCGCGCTCTTTTCTCTCTCTTGCCTTCGTGCCTCAATTCGCCTGCGGTGCATCCCACCGCTTGCTCTGACCAGCGCCTGACCGTCTTGCACCACCCGGCGCACGCGGACTTACAAAAAGTGTGTTTTGTTGCATTCAGGAGGGAAACACACAGACACAAACAATCGTCGATACCTAGGGCAATGTGGGACGTATTGTATGGGAAGTGGAGAGGAAGACGGAACACTCTAGAAGACATGGGACAATAGGGGGGATCCTGGGATTTGTATATATATATATATATATATATATATTTGGTCTGTCCCTGGGCCTCTTTATGATCTATTCTTTCTCGAGGCTGACCGGCGCCTGGTTGCACCACCCCCACCAGTATGCGACGTCCTGATCTTGCCAGTGCGGCGAAAAACCTCCCAGTTTTGTTTTTTATTATTCCCTCCGACGCGGGCATGTCTTGGACCCGTGGGCTTACAACAACGTCTCAGGGCTGAACCTAAACGGTGTTTTTCTGTTCGTTTTGTTTCCGCTCTCCCTCGTTTTGTCTTCAGTCCGCCTTTCACGCCAAACGACATCGAAACGAAAACGGCCCACGAGAACGCCCAAACACCCTTTAGCTCCAGCCCCGCAACGTCTTGTTGCCATCCGAGGCTGGCAGCCAGCCAGGCTGGCCTCCGGGGCGCGCTGGCGGAGCAGGCCGAGGCCACGCGCGGGGAGCTCCGGCGCCAGGCCAGCGAGTTGCGCGAGGCGCTGGCCGCGGGCCTGTCGGAGGAGCGGGCGTGCCGCGAGGTGTCGGCTGTCCCTGAATTCGTTATTTCGGGGGTTGCTAAAGGTGCCCCTGGCCCAAGGTGCCCCCAGGTTTTCGTCCATTCTGAAGCCCCCTGGGGCCCTCTGAGTCTAGTGAGGGGTGCTCTGAAGGCCATGGAGGCCTCCCTGGAAATCCTGGGGGCACCTTGGGCCAGGGGCACTTCTGGCAACACCCGTTATTACATGTAGAAAACTTCAGAATCAGTGGATGGTTTGTAGATTAGTGGTACGGATGTTGAGACAGACTGTGAGCTCGATCGTGGGGTCGATCGTGAGATCGATAGTGGGTTCGATAGTGAGGGCGATCGTGAGGTTGATCGTGAGGCCGGTAGGGAAGTCGATTCAGTGAGATAGAGATCGAGAGTGAGATCTATAGTGGGATCGATCGTGAGATCGATAGTGTATTTGATAGTGAGGACGATAGTGAGGGCGATCGTGTGACTGGTAATGAAGTCAATTCAGTGAGGTCGATAGCGAGATCGTTCGTGGGACCGCTCGTGCGATGCATAGTGAGATCGATTGTGAGATCGATAATGAGATCGATAGAGAGGTGGGTAATGAGATCGATGGTGAGACCGATCGATACGGAGATCGACCAGGAATCCAGGAACCCAGAAACTGGGGAACCCAGCCGGCCATCGAAATCGGCCCGGAACCAGCAAGTAGGAACGGGGGAGCCCGGAACTGGGAACCCGGGAGCCCAGCCGATTACCGAAATTGGTTGGGCTCTTTCGCCAATTCCTTCAACATCCTCTAGGACCCCTTCAGTTCAAGCACTGATTGGGGAACAAGCGGGGGCCCTCCGATTCTTGTGTTGAACGCGGCGTCGCGCAGAGGGGGTAGATTCTTCGAAGCACCCCTGCTTCTTAGAAGGCGTGGGCCGGCGCCTTCTAAGAAGCAGCCCCTGAGAAGCCTTCCCCCTCCCCCGATGTACCCCTCTTCTTGCGCGCCGCCGAAGTACTTTTTTCACACTGGGCGCTCGCCTGATGTCGGTCAGGAGGGGAAAAACACAGACACAATTAATCGTCGACTCCCAGGAAGATCTGGGAAAATATGGGAAGTGGGGGGGCAGACAAAAACCCAGAAAATATGGGAAAACATGGGGGATCCTGTTATCTGTGTGTATTTTTTTGTGTGTCCTTGGGCCCCTTCACCATGCTGATGCTGTGTGTGCGTCGCCCGCCGGGAGGCGACGCGCGCCGAGAAATCTTGTGGCAGAAGCTCTGCGGAGGGCGCTTTCTGGCCATGCGGCTCGGGAAACGATCTGCCACAGATGCTTGTCTTAAGTCGGGTTTGCCCCTTCTACAGGGGGAATATTCAAAAATAGCCAAAAAATATTCAGGGGACCATTTATTGAGAATTTTTTGACCATTTTGGAATATTTGTGGAGTATTTTTTATTTTTCGTCGAAAATACATCTGTAGGGGGACACGCGCGACTTAATGCTTGTCCTACATCTTCGGGTCGGACGCGCACCTCCGAGGAGGTATGCTGTTGCGCGTCCCACAGAGGTGGGCCTCGCATCCTGGCGTTGCCTTTTTTTCACACCGAGCGCTTTCGCCTGACTTCGGGCCCCGGGATCCTCACATAATGATCGGGCTCGAAAATTGCCGCAGGAAGATGGGTCCAGGGCTCTGATCGTGTTTTTTTCACGACGCGGTAGTCTTTTCGCACTGTCGCGCCGGCCTCTCGGAGGAGCGGGCGGACCTCGTGGCGCGGGCACACTGGGCCCGCGAGAGTCACGCTCCAGAGGTCACTCTTGCCAAGGGTCAGTCTTGCGTGTAGCCGAGAGGTGGCCGTCCTCAGGCTGGAGGAGAAGATCACCTTCATGAGCAATTTCTTCGCCGACATCGGGCACCGGTTCGGGGGCGCTGCTCCCGAGAGGACCCAGCGGCGCGCGATGGGGCGTGGTGGGGGGCGGCGAGGGCGGCGCGCGATGGAGGAAGAGAGGAGGACGGGGAGGAGGGGGAGGGGGAGAAGAAGGAGGAGGAAGAGGAGGAGCAGGAGGAGGAGGAGGAGGAGGAGCAGGAGGAGGAGGAGGAGGAGGCACGATGAGGGGGAGGAGCAGGAGGACGAGGAGGAAGGGCTCGCGAGGTCCCCAGAGGCCCCCAAGGACCCCCCCCACCAGAGGCACCAAGAGGCCCCCCATACAGGCCCCCAGCATGCCGCCACGAGGCCTCCCCCGAGAGACCCCGACAGGCCTCCCACCAGGGGCTCGTGTCCACGATCCCGCTGACCGGAGGCCACTGAACACTACACAGAGTATGGGCTGGCAGAACGAGCGAGGCGATCCGCCCCGTTCACTGGGTGCGGCGTGTGAGACCACCACCGCAAGACGGAGACTTCTCATCAGCGCATCTTTCGGGTTTCTTACTGAGCGTGGGGGGGTACCCCTCCGACGGGGGCCAACCTCGCCTCGTCGTCGCGACGGGGTCCGGAGCGCCTTCGGCAGGTGGCCGCCCGCGACGGGGGTCGATGTGGGGCTGTCAGCGGGGGCGACGCCCCTCCCACGCTTGTTGAGAAACTCGCAGTGCCCATCCCTGTTTTTGGGCCTCTCCGAGCCCCTTCTTCTCCTCCTCCTCCTCCTCCTCCTCCTCCTGCTCCTCCTCCTCCTCCTCCTCCTCCTTCTCCTGCTCCTCCTCCTCCTCCTCCTCCTACTCCTTCTCCTCCTCCTCCTCCTCCTCCTTCTCCTCTGGGACCGCTCCTTCTGCCAGCCCCAGAGCCTCGGGCGCGGCCGGGGCGCCCTCTGGCCGCCACGTCCGTCCCAGAACGACCCCCGTTTCAGGTGCTCGTCTTCCGGGCGCCGCCGGGGCCTCTCGGAGACCTCTCCGGGAGCCGCCCCAGCTAGCTTCTGGGGCCTCTCGGGGCCCTCCTGGGCTCAAGCAGTTGGGCCGTTCTGGATGCCTCTCATCCTTCGACTGTGCTCGAAACACTTTTTGGATCTGCGGGGCGAGAGCGAACCTCTTCCGCCAAAAGCTAGGCGGGCTACGCACAGCTTTAATTAGGGAGACAGGGCTCAGGAAGGCGGGGCCTCAGGCGTTTTTTTGGGGGGCTGGAAACACAGAAGAACCCAACGAGCAAAGAACCGGGTAGAGTACCTGGGATTTTGGCCACTGAAGGCGTCTCGGGCGTGGGCCCTCCTCGGGCCCCTCGGGCGCTCTTCCTGGGCCGAGCCCGACGGTCTGTTCCAGCTTTTCCGATGCTTCCTGCGGCCGTCCCGGTCGGCCTGTCTGGGGCCTCCTCGGCTTCGGGAGCAGGCTCTCGGTGACTGCTCGCGCCTCCTCCTCGGGCCGCCTCCCCAGAGGTCCAGCGCATGGACAAAAATCAAGACGGAGGTTTTTCGCCGTTTTCGGCCTCCCGAGGCCCTCGCCGGGCCTCGGGATCGTCAAAAATCGGCTCAGGACGTCAAGCCGGTCCTGGGGAATGGGTCGAGCGCCTCCTCCTCGGGCCGCCTCCCCAGAGGTCCAGCGCATGGACAAAAATCAAGACGGAGGTTTTTCGCCGTTTTCGGCCTCCCGAGGCCCTCGCCGGGCCTCGGGATCGTCAAAAATCGGCTCAGGACGTCAAGCCGGTCCTGGGGAATGGGTCGAGACTTCTGGGGACCCCGTACTGAAAAAATCACGACATCGGATCTCTGGGTCTGCGCGACCACGTGCTGCTCGGGTGGCTCGCCTGTCTCCCGGGCGAGTCTCGCCGGGTCCGGTCGCGGGATACCGCGCGTCTTCCCACGTCGCATGCAGCGCCGCGCGGCCAGAGCAGCGACGGAGCGAGGACCACTTCGGGCCCACGGGGGGCTGCAGCTCTCGGGCCGACCCTCAGCCCTGGCCCGGGGCCCTCGCCGAGGAGGCCCGCGCGCGGGCCCCCCCCGCGGGCAGCCCGCCGCGGGCCGCCGCCGCGGGGCTGCCGCCGCGGGCTGCCGCCGGGGCTGCCGCCCTCGCCGCCGCAGGCCGCCGCGGCCGCAGGGCGCCGCCGCCGCCGCTCGCCGCCGGCTTCTTCGTCGCCGCTGCCGCCCCCCCCCTCCAGCGCGCAGCCGCCGAGGAGCTGCCCGCCCGCCGGCCGCGCGCGGCCCGCGGCCGCGCCGGCGTCGGCGCGCGCCGGCGCCGGCGCGAGGCACGCCTCGGCCCGGCGGCCGCCCGGCCCTGCGGGCGCGGCCGGGTGAGGCCTGCGGCGAGGCCTCGTGCCTGCGGCCGGGCGCCCGGAGGTCTGCGGATGCCTCGTGCCCGCGGCCGGCGGCGAGCGCTGGCCCTGCGGGCCCCAGGCGGGGCTCCCAGGCCTCCACCGCCTCGAGGAGCTCGGGGCCCAGACCCCCGACGTCATGACTTTTTCATGACGCGACCCCCAGAGGTCCGGACCTGTTCGCCGGGACCGGTTTTTCATCCTGAGCTGTTTTTTGACGATCCCGAGGGCCGGCAAGGGCCCCCAGGGCCCAGAAAGATTTTCCGTCGTGATTTTTTCATGACTCGAGGGGGTCTGGGGGGGCGGACGCTGTTCGCTGCTTTTTTGGGGGGCCTCCGGGGGGCCTTCGCAAAGGGGCCGGGCGCCGGCAGAGGCCGCTTCGGGATGGAGAGCCGGCCCCAGGGATCGGGTCCAGACCTCTGGAGCTTGGTGGGCCCTGGAAACCCCAGCGATCCAGCGTATTGAAGAAATCAAGAGGGAGGTTTTTCGCCGTTTTCGGCCTCCCGAGGCCCTCGCCGGGCCTCGGGAGGCGGGAGGCGGGAGGCAGGAGGAGGGCGGAGGGATGGAGGAGGGAGGAGGGAGGGGGGGAGGGAGGGGGAGGGAGGAGGGAGGGGGGGGGGGAGGGAGGAGGGAGGGAGGAGGGAGGAGGGAGGAGGGAGGAGGAGGGGGAGGAGGAGGAGGAGGGAGGAGGGAGGAGGAGGAGGGAGGAGGAGGCGGAGGAGGAGGGAGGAGGAGGGAGGAGGAGGAGGAGGAATGCGAAGATGAGTGTATGGAGGGTAACGAAGAGCCAGAGGAAGAGGGGTCTATGGACACATGGCGCTGCCCGCGGGAGGCCAGACGGCGCCACCGCGGGCTCGCAGGGATCGTGGTGCACCTTGTTGTTTCGTCTGCCAGTAATTCGATAGGAATTCGCGCGATGCATTTGTAGTGCCGCGTGTTTCCCCCTCTCCTTCTCGTTCTTCTAGCTCGCCTTCCCGTTCCTGCTCGTATCCTACAGCATAAAAACGCATGACGACCTCTCAAGCCTGTGGTTGGGATCGCTCGCTCTTTCAGGCGCTCTGCAACAAGGGCAGCGGCCCTCCCTCCTGCCCGCGCGCGGGCAGGAGCCAGGAGGGGGCTGCGGGCAGGACGGTGCTGCCGGACTGCGCCGCTCCACCTCGAGGAGCCGGGGGGGACACGAGGCGGATTTGGCCGCGGGACGTGCCCCGCCCCCCCCCCCTCCCAGAGTCGCACAAAAGTCGCCCAACAGCAAGCAGTAACCGGTGCTCGATTCTGGACCGTTCTTTTGCCGTCTGGTCGCAGCCTCTCTCTTCCTCCCTGGTCTCGGGGGCCCCCAGACGGGGCATTTGCAACATTTTCGCGGTGCCGGGAAGCTTTCCGACTCCCCTGACTGCCCGACTGGCCGACCCCCCGACTCCCCGTTTCCCCTGACTCCCCGACTGGCCGACTCCCCGACTCCCCGACTGGCCGACTCACCGACTTCCCGACTCCCCGACTGCCCGACTGGCCGACTCCCCGTTCTTTTGCTGTGCAGTCCCAGCTTCTCTCGTCCTCCCTGGTCTCGGGGGCCCCGAAAGGGGTGCTGACCACACCAGGTGGTGAGTCGGTGGGGATTCGGGGTCACCGCACGGTTTTGTGACTCGGGTCGTTCTCCGAGGATGTCTCGGGCGGCTGAGGCCTCCAGGGTCCCAAAACCGTGTGGTGACGGACCCTGCAGTGAGGTTTTTGGGAATTTCGAGGTCGCCGCCGGGTCTGTCACCACACGGTTCTGGGACCCCCAGTTGCCCTCCGCAATGCTGTCGGTCTCCTGCCCGGCGCGCCCGCTGAAGCAGGCGCGGCCACCCGTGCCACTTCTAGGGGGCGCGTCGCATCGTGGCGTTTTTTTTGTTTTTCCTGTGTTTCCGGGGGACGCCTCACTGGCGCCCTGGCCGGACTCGGCTCGAGCGACTTTGTCCCAGCTGTGGTTTGGAGGGGCGCGGGGACCACTCTCAGAGGCTTCTTTCTGCAAGCAAACATCAAAGACTTCATAACGTCGTCTCTGTTCACAAAGTGGTACGTGTGATCAGCAACCTCATTCTCTCTCTCTCTCTCTTCTACTGGCTCTTGTTGGTTTTCTGTGCTCTCTCCCAGACTCTCTCATTCTCTCTTTGTTTCTCTGCTCTCTCTCTTCCTCTGTGCCCCCCCTCTTCCCGAAGCCTGAAGCCGACGAGGCCTGGTGGGCGGTCGGCCCTCGAGCAGTGCAGCCTGGCCCCCGTGCGAACGAGTGCGTCTGAGGGGGTAAGGGGCAAGGAGGTGAGCGAGCGAGCGAGCGAGCGAGCGAGCGAGTGAGTGAGTGAGTGAGTGAGTGAGTGAGGGAGAAAGCGAGCGAGCGAGCGAGCGAGCGAGCGAGGATTACAAGCTCCACGAGAAGTCTGCCGGGAAGCCGCTGGCAGACCGCTCGGGACATCCCCACAGTTTGGGCGCGGATCCTGGGGCGTCCTCACCCCTGGCGGCTCCCTCTTCCGCTCCGCTTCTTGCCGAGAGGGGGACGACCCCGAGCACGGCGCCTGGAACACGTTTTGGTGGAGGGTATGCCCAGAGCGGCTGCACACGAAGCTAGGCCTCCCAGTTGGGGTCCGAACAGGTGGTCGGCGTCACCCCAACACACTAACACAGTGTGTGCGTCGCCCCCAAAGGGGCGACGCGCTCACCGAGAAATCTTCTAGTAT